ATCATCTATGCTTTTTATAAAGCATCCAGAATAATTAAAACGTTTGAATCCTTTACCTCTTCAGGATGTGATTCCTCTTCTTTCTGGCCAGTGTTTGTTGGTAACAGTACGTTACTTCTTGACTCCTTCTTTGCAGCCATCAGCATATCTCGTTTTTTCTTTAGATAGTCCTCTCGTTGCTTCAGCTGCTGTTCTTCAGGTTCTGATAAATTCTAGAATTTTTTAAAAATACATTTTAAAATTAATTTAAAATTAATGTTACATCTTTGTGAGATAAAAGCTTTTTCCTCATATTTGCCTCCAAAATTACTAGCTGAAAAAAAAAAAATCCAAGTTGAAGTTCAAGCCAGAGCTGTCTACTAAGAAAATATCACAGGAGAAAGGCTGAATGCTGAATTCAGTTCTAAAACTAGAATGGTGATCTGAACTTACGCAAATTAAACTGGTGAGTACCACAAAACAGTGTTTGCATGACGGTTTAACAAAAAAAAAAAGCCCAAACCAAAACCACCTGACTACAATAATAGAAAAAATGTATATTTAAGACAGTATTACATTTAAATCTATTATAAAAGTAATACTGTCTTTTTGCATTCTAGTTCTGTGTTGGGGGGTGTGTGTCTTGTTTGTTTTAAACTTACAGGTCCTTTCTTGCCAGCTTTTTGCGCTGCATTGTCTGAACATTTTCCAGCTGACCTTTTCTTAATGTCTTCTTTCCCTTTGGTACAAGATGGCTGAGGTGAGCTTTCTGTTCCTTTTTGTAGCGGGCATACTGGTTTTAAGTCTTCCCTCGCAGATTTCCGAGATTCCACTAAACAGCAATTTTGCATAGAAAACAATTAGAAAGAATAGAAATATATCAACTAAAAAATAAATCTGTGTTTCTTCCAGTATCCCGATGGCTCTTCTGATGAAATGGAATGCTTTAAAAAAGAAATCATATTTTTTCCCTTTGTATTTATCAGTAAAACCGTCTTTCAGAAAACAGATCAATACTGTATTTGTACTGTAAAAGCAATTAAATAATGTTTTACATTGTAAGAAATTCTACTGCAGCGAATTATAAAACATTGTCAAATGCTTGGAATGCAATTTCATATTCTGTGTTCCAATAGTCAGTTCGTACGGAGACTGCACTTCCCATTTCTGTCTTGGCAAGTCAAGCCAGTGGCCAGCAGCTTAGCAGGTGCACTTCAGCCAGTGCTAGGTACAAGGGTACTGGCTCAGCTTTCAGCTTCAGAGAAAGGAATCCAAAAATACTGTATTTAAGTGAACTTGTGCAGCAGAGAGGGGGGAGTGAAGCTCAAGAGGTGCAAAGTGTTACACTGACAGCCATCGGGACGTGCTCGGCCCGCGCAGCTCCATTACCCCTCTTCACAAGGAACCATGCCCCAGCGTGAGGATGCAGTGGGAACCCCCCAGGTTTCTGATGCTGGCAGGGCTCTGGGCCCCATATGGGCCGGCTGGTGGGTGCCTGGGCAGCTCGGGGCAGCCATGGTGCAAACAAGGCTCGGGCAGCTGCTGGTGTCTCCAACTCCCTCCCCTTGTGCGTGGTAACAGTCCTGCACGACGCCCTCTGCACCTCTTGCTTTTTTCTTGGACAAATGCCACCTGTGCTGACAAAGAAAAGTACCCCTGTACTGATGCCAGCTGTGCCTTTCACACCTCTGCAGGTACCAAGGCTCGCTTTGCCTTGCATCCCACTGAACTCCATGGTGTCTGGGATGGCATCGTGGTTCCTGACGTCGGAGTCAAAGCCTCTCCAGTCACTGGACTGCAGAGCAGGGTATGTTTTCAGAACTTTACTAAGACTTTATTTGACCTGCAACTACTACTGAATAAGGTAAGTTGGTGCTCCTACTCTACTTTTATTAAAATGAAGAAGCTTTTGACTGTTTAATATGTGCCTGAATATATCCATGCAGATGCAAGAATACAGGTAGTGAAATATGAACTTCACTGTGTTCAGTCAGTTCGAGTCTATCCATAATACCCGAGCTGATACACATAACTGAATGTAGCTAATTATAATTCTGCAGTGCTGGACCATGGATGTTTGCTGTAATGCTGAGAAATAACTCGCATGAGTGTCAGGGTATGAATTCTCTCTTTGGTCTCTACCAGACAGACGGCAAAGCTGGCTCCACTGAGGCTAGTGCAGGGTGAACACCACTCAATTGTTTCTTTAAGTTAGACCAAGTAATATACATTTAGCTCTTCACCATTGCTGCTTTTGTTCGTACAGAAAATTACAAGATAGGTAATTGTGAAAAGGTAGGGAGAAAAGCAAAGGAGAGGAAGACTTATTCAAAGTATGGGAAGCAAACCAGGACAGAAATGTAAAACAAAGCTCAAGCTGAAGAATTTACATTTCACTGGTATCTGTCTGCTGGAAGTCTTGACGCTGAAAAGAATGTCTTTATGTGATGGATAAAAGTTGTTACGGTTTCTGTGAGAGGCCAGACTTTAAAATTGCTAGAAAAAAAATCCTCACACTATAGCTGTCTGAACAAACAACGGGGGCAAAAAAAACCCCAAAACACACACTTGCATGCCAAATACCTACCCCATAACAAACATTATGATGAAGGCAAGCTACTTACCAGAAAGCAGTTCTTTGTTGTGTTGTGTGTATGTAAAGTGTATGTAAAGTGTTGTGTGTATGTAAATTTACACTGTTGCTGTCCATATCGCAAACACTCCTGCTGGAGATGTTTGTGTCCTAGCAGTACCTGTAGGATGTGGTCATAGGACCCTCAGTATCACTTAACCCACGAACCTGAAAAGATGCTGAGAAGGGAAGGAGGGTGGACAATGAACGTACAAACAGACAGCACATCTCAAAGAATTAGTTACTGGCACGTAACATTTTTTCTCCTTTGAGAACTTGTCTATATGTACATTCACGCTGTGGGTGACTAAGCAACACTCTTTTCCATGTGGACAATTACTTCAAAATCTTCTGAAAATACAAGCACCCAGGACCACTCCAGCAGATGCTGCATCCTTCTTGTCCGTGTGATACACACAGCTTGGTGCAACTTTTCAAGTAGCTGCCCTGCAGGTGTCCAGAAAGGGAAGTGTTGTCCCAGAATGCAGGAAAGGTCACTTGTGCTCCGAGGTGTTGCACATGACCTTTACTGTGAAATCCACCCTTCTGATCTCTATGTAGTGCAACAAGTTGGGTGGTCAAAGTACAGGAGGAATGGTTTTGCAAGCTCTAATCTGTAAACTGTTTGTAAAGGGCTTACCAAAGGGTAAGGGTCTGTAGAAGAAGATTCCCATTACAGATTCTTCTTGACTTTTGCCACCACTACCCAAACCCACTTTTCTAAAAGGTGACACTGGAGGATGAGCTGTGACAAACTTTCTTAGTAGCCTCTTTGGACAGGTATGCTGCCACAAGATGCCAGTTCTACAAGGATGAAGATTTCCAAGGACCTACAACTTTGTGTAGGCCTGTCCCTTCTTTGGCATTTAAAGAGCATAGGAATGCTCAGCACCAGCTGAGCAGGCAGTGGGTCCGCACAGAAGAAGGGACCCACTCAGTGCAGGCAAGTTTTGCCTCCTGAGCTCCAAGGTCTCCTGTCTCAAAAGCACGGGATTAAGTGCTGTGGCTGGAATATTTTCTAGGAATGTGCCTTCCTCCTGAAACAGGAAAACAGCCACTGCAGGACAGATATAGTTTAGTGGTGCCATTGCAAGGTGGCACAACTATGCAAAAATAAGAGGAGCAAAAGCAGGCTGGGAGAAGAGAAGAACGCAAGTATACCAGCTAGCCTTCTGTATGCTTCCATGGGTGGAAAGGAGAGAAGAAGAGTGTAAATAAATGTAACAAAACTTCAGGAGAAGGACAGAGGGGATAAGAGGAGGAAAAAAAAAAAAAAAAATCTTTAAAAGGTTGGTGACACAGTTTATTTTTTACGTTTCCTAATGTGAAAGACACTAACTCAGCTTAAAAGAACAGAGGGTTCTACAACCACATCACCTGGTAATGGCCATCAAATGAAACAGCAAGGAGCAAGTATGCCCCAAAGGTACTGCCAAGGCTAAAAAGTATCCAGCTCAAGTGTCTGTGATACGAAATCTTCCAGTGTGAATGCTGCAAAGAGAAACACTAGACACAGGAAAAATATAATTAAAGACAGCGCAGACTATTATTTCCCAAAGTTGGAATTATATTCTTGGAAGTCACATTTGAATATTAAGTTGCAAACTTTTCACAAACTCCTAAGAGCAAATTCCACTGAGATGCAACCTGCTTTTGAATATCACCTATGTACACCTATATACATAGATATGTGTGTATATACACACATATACGCTCCTTTCCACCCAAGAATTTTCCTGCTTTCCTGAACAGGTCAGCACGCTTGTGCTTTAGCTGCAACACAAACATACCAAGAGCACCTCCCCACAACCGGTGATTCTGGTTTTTCTCCTCCCTGTAAAAGCACTGGCTTGGTCATGCTCTCCAGTAAATAATTATCGACAAAAAAAAAAAATCAGCCAATTTTCACTACATAACTTGGGTAAAGTTAAAGAGTACTTTAAAGAGCTCTCCTCATTATTGTAAGCTGGTAAGTGTCACAATCCTACTCAAAAACAAAATTGTAGAATTGAAAAGATTAAAATGAGTAACAAAAATCTGAACCAAAGGCAAAAAGATTCAGTTTGGTGGCCTGACAATTCAGCTTGAATGAATCTTAAGAGTTTAAGGTTGGTTTCTTCAGAAATATTTGATTGCTATCAAGAAATGTTGTACAATTATAAATTAAATCTATAATGGCTACACACAGGGAGAGAAAGCATAACTTTTCAAGTAAATGATTCATAGTTACTTACTGGGAACACATTGTTCTTAACAGTAATGGCAGCATAAGCACAGTAAACTGAAAGATGAAAACTGCTGTTAGGCTCCTGTATTTCTCCTCCAATTGGAGATGACTTATAACATCATTGAATAATAAAACAACTTGGGTTGGAAGGCATTTCTGCAGGCCACCTAGTGCAAATACCCTGCTCAAAGCAGGCCTAACTTCAAAGCTAGGATGGTTTACTCACAGCCTTATCCAGCCAAGTTCTTAAAATCTTGGTATTAGTGTACTCTTCAGTGATTTGAAAATAGTATCGTATTGCAATCTCAGCATTGTACCTTCCCATAAAATTACCTAGTGAAAATTTCACAGTTTCTTCAGAATCATCAGCTCTCTCAGTGGACTCCTTAACTTTTACAGCTTCTCTTGAATCTGGAAAACTGCAGGTGACATCTGGTGATTTAAGTTTGTCATGTGCCTTAAATTAAAACAAACAAACAAACAAACAAAACCAAGCATTACATTTCCTGGCAGTGTACTTCAAGCATTAAACTGTCAACACAAAGAAAGCTTCCCAAAGGGACTTTCAGTTAAAATTGTGCTGTTTACACTACATACTGCATTGTTAAAGGGAACAAAAGCAAACTACTTATTTTGTTTTACTAATAGGAATATTCTTACTGGCTTATAGTCGTAAATCAGCATTTTTTATTTTACTTCAAAACATGTTCTCTAATCAACAATCAGAATTTAGAATATTAGGTCAATTGATATTTTGCTTCCCAGCTACACATAGATAATGTAGGGGCTTTTTGCCACACTTTGCATGTGAGTTTTTCTGGCCACACTTTGCTTTCAAGCAGATCTCTGTCCACCAGAAAAATACCAGTAAGAGAACCAGGAACATATACTGAAGTTACCACTGAAATAGAGAAAAAAATCAGCTGAGTGGAAACAACAGGTCTGGATAATCTCTGACGCTATTGTTTCACATCTACACTTGCCCAGGAAATCTTGACAATGCAACTCACCTCTCAAAATAGTAAAGCCAGCTGGGATTTGCACAGAAAATGTCTACACTGTTCATCAACCGTCTAATTCATGTCAGAACTCACAAGCATTCATCAAAATATTATTTTGTAATAAAACATTTTCTAACAAAAACATATTATTGAACAATAACTATCACCCTCTCTGTCCAGGTGAACTTGACTGGGGCCTCAATAATCTGGCTTGTTTATCAAGAATATTGATATTCTTGGCTGGTCTATAAAGATTTGGATAAGCCTGCTTCTTAATATTTTTTGAATTAATTCATAAAATGAGCCGAAGCTTGAATTTCCATGTTGGTTTTGTTTTGTAAGAAATCCAGTAGAACAGGTGACTCATTTCCTGGAATCTACCATTGCAGCACGGGCAAGAAGAGTTTTGTCACCACTTTTCTGCAGTGTCAGACAGTGGGAGAGAGGTTTAATTTGGTAGAATATTCCAATTGTTTAGGACTTGTGCTCAGTAGCGTAGCTATCAGCTGCACCTGTCATGGGTATGAATTGGGGAGTAGGATTGGAAATGAAGTGTTGACCTCTGCAGTAGCTACATTTGGTCTCCGGGCGGTTTTGTCAGTTCAGGCTGAAGAAACAGTGCTTTCTCTTTTCAAGTTTAGCATGCTCAATTTCCTAGTGACAGAAAAGCGATTCTGCTCTTTTGAAACAGGCTACAATCACAGCTATTTTTATGTTTTCCCAGTGAAGGGGAGATCTTTTGCCACAAATCCACTGTGGCTGATCTCAATTTCAATTTGTTCCTCAGTTGCTGAACGATTGTCAATTTGGCCAGTCCCTGTTTACATTCAGTTACCTTTCTATGTGGTTTACTCTGATGGAGACCAAGTGATGGTCTAACTTGGAGAGGATTTCTGGTTCCTGGTGATTAAGTTCTAGAAGTATTGTGCAGACTTAAATTCATTAACTATACTGTCTATGAAGTGATCCTTAAAATTCCTGAAGGATTATGAATGCCGTAATCTCTAAGAAGCTTATACTGTGAAGTCTCTTTGATCTTGACAATATTAGTAATTCAGATGTTCTCTGGACCTGAAAGGTTGACATCCGTTACCAGGATTTTCGAATTCAGATACTGAAGAGGGAATATGCTTATCTCATGAGCTCCACCAAATGGCTTGTGGTTAATGGTATCATGTATAGCACCAGCGTCAACACCACCATCAAGAAAAATGTAAACAACAGAACAGACCTTTCAAAAAGAAGTGTCAGTAAGACCTTCCTGACAGACCTTTTGTTTGCTTAGGATGGTACACATTACCTTAAAGTGATACAGTCAACACCCAGGACAGGAATATCAGAGTATTTCTTAATCATGAGCATAACTCATCTGGAAAAGTAAGATACTCACTTCTTCAGTCCTTTTTCTTTCTTGCTCTATTTCATATTCTTCCTTCGATTTCCTGTAACACAAAATACAAGTAAATACTCAAGACTTCTTTAATATCAGTGACTTCTAGGTAAATTTAGCGCTGCTTAAATATTTGAGGACTAACAAAACACTAACAAAATAAAGTGAATTTGTTAGTGTCCAAAATACTTCCATGACTTAAATGAAAATACACTCTTAATAGAAATAAATAATTATGATTAACACACAGAATCCAGCATCCTCAGTCTATAGTTCCCTGTGCAAAAATAATTGTGTAAGAATTTCCAGGGTTTATCTATCCCATGTTTCATTTGCTGGTTTAAAGACAGGGACAGAAGTATTTCAGAATACAGAGGGGAAAATAGCATAATTTAATATAACCTGAATGAATTAATCTGCTATTATTTAAGGTTATATTTATATATGTGTGAACTGGGAGTGGAGGAGAATCTATAGAAGTCGTATCAGTCCTCACACATCTTCTTCTTAGGTCATAGCAACAGCCATTGAACACAACTAAGAAGGAAGCTGTAGAAAGGAATAAAGCCTACTGCAAAAGCAGAATTTGCCTTCCTAAGGCCTTAATGTTTAGGGTGTTCCCCAAATGGATTACAGCTAGCGTGCTCCTGTTGTCCAGAGACATCTAACCCAGCTCTAACTTCAAGTCTACCTGGAGATTCAGAGGAGAATGGAAATGATGGGGCTCTTCAAGTTGCACACCACTGCACCAAGACAGTTCATCAAGGCAGAGCGGTTAGGTCTCAGTCTTTAAATATTCCTGATCACACCCACTGTCTAGCACTGTTCATTTTCTCTTAGGTAGGATTTTGACAAGAACATTCACGTCATATGTAAGATGAAGGCAGTTTCCTGGAAAGGGCTGGAAGAGTTAGGCCCTACATACTTTTATTTTTTATTTTAAAATAACGTACGAAGTAGGACTGATTAATTTTTTACCTTAGAACCTCCCTCAGTATTTTCATTTCTTCTTGTTCAATTTCACTGAATACATCTGAACCCTCTGTCAAACAGTCAGGCAACACACCTATAAAAAAAACATGGCAAAATTTATGCATTAGTCTAAGAATGGAGTAATGGAATGGAATTATGCATTACTCTAAAGAATGGAGGACAAATATTTTGTCCTCCATTTGGCATCATTCTTCAGGCAGAGAGGGGAAAGGGGAAAAAAAAAAAACCAAACACTATCTAATTCTTCTTCCCTGTAACTGTTTCCAAAAAGATTCCAGATCCTGGGCATCAAGTTGCTAGTAGCAAAAAAGCAAAGGTTTCTGAACTATGAAAGTTTTGGCATCTAAGGGTAAAGCATAAGTCATACTCTGCATTGACCATTATATAGCATTTCCTATAGACTGCAATTCAGCCACGGCTAACTGAACCATTTTCAAATTTAGCTGTTATATGAAACTTGAAATTTAAAAATTATTCTCTGAAAAAACATGCATGCACTAAGAAGACAAAACAAAATGGTAGAACTAAAGGCATGGAAGAAAGGAGTGGCTAGATGAAAATCCTCTCAGAAACATCAGCAGGGCAGCAAAGTTGGGTGTATGTTATTTTCTCTTCTTTAAAAGCATGCATGTATTAGCATGATGAAGGCCACAACTTCTGCTTTCTATATGGATTTTTCATATGCAACTGTACAGTGTGAATTGCAAAGTAAGCACAGCAGATAGTACAGCATCGTTGCTATGCAAGTACGCAATTCAGACTATCAGTATTGCCATTGTGGATGAACTGATACAATCGCTTTAACACTATCACCAAAATTCTTTAACAAAAAACAAAGTCAAGTTTCACAGACAAATTTAGACAAACAGAACTGAAAAATCTGTTCATTCAAAAAGGAATGTAAACAGCTGTCACTGAGAATACAAGCCAAGGACTAAATATTGAAATCATAGTCCTAGTAAATTAACTGAATGTTTTCCATTAACTTGAACTGAACCAGTATTCCTTACTCATTTATGAATGGGTTACATAGTCATCAAAAGAACACTAAAACGATGAAGAGAAGCAAAACCCCACATTTACCACTTCTTACCATTTCTTTCTTTAATGATTCTAATTGCTTGCAATTGCATTTCAATATTTTTCTGTACCATCATTTTTTTAAATAGTCTAAAATCTTCTGCTGCCAACACTGTTTGCAAAATGGCCTGTGGGAAGAAAGATACGCACAAAATTAAAAACCCTAGAGAAATCACAACCATCTCAGTCTGCTTGAAATGATATTAAGATTTAAATTCTGTGGAGCATATTTTTAATAATTACATGTAATTTTCCTATCTGTCTATTCTTCCAGCCATGCAAGTTGAGCTACTAGTCAAGAAAAGAATTTGATGGTTTATGTCTTTAGATCAACATGTCTACAATAATATTATCACCAAACCTGGAGCATTTCCCCATGTAAATTTATAACTGCAATTCATTTGACTTCCTGAACAAATGCATAAGCTTGAGTGAGGAATGTGCACTCTGAAGAAGCTTGTTACACATCTAGGAGGAGATATGCCAACAAACCCCAATTTAAACTGGCAGCAGAAGCTCCCACTCCTCTGCCCAGTATAGCTGAGACAATTCTGAAACCTATCTTTGAGCAGGTGCCTAACCATGCCTTGTCTTCTCAAGGCCAGTGTTTGTCTTACAGATTTTACTGTTTTATTATAAAATAAAAGGAAAACATCTTTTATTTTATGGAATATGTCTGTTGTTTTAATCTTTGTCTGCTACTGTAAACGTGCTGAAGACTAACATAAAGCTGACAAATACACAAATAAAGGTGGCAGAAACACCCTAAGCTTAGACGTTTGTTTTAGAAAATACAAAGCACAGAAGATGAATCTCAAAAAGGTCTGACACCACACAAATACCTGTCATTATTTTCAACATGCGCATTTTTCTGGTCAAAGTTCATAATATAAACAAACACATTATGCTTTAGAAAATTAGTTTTAACAAGAAATCTTTTCAAAGTTTCATCTCCACGCTGCTATATTAGTGAAAATACAAAGATAAAAGTTAAATCTATACATTCCTTAACAAAGGAAAATACCTGTGAAGTGTGTGTCTTTGCAAGAGGAGATGAAAAAGCTTCTTGAAATTTCTCCTCATTGATTCCAACTTCCTTAAGATAGTCTTCTAATAATTTTTCAACCTGTAAGAAAGCATAAGCCTTACTTTCTCAGAGGCTTTTCCCTAAGCATCATATGAATTTTTTTCATAATTGTATATTCTTTTCTGCTGACATTGTATTTTAAACTCAAAGGAAAATCACTGCAATAGTATAACTGATTTGTCTGACATGTCAGGCTCTATTTACTTTCACGAACTGTTCAAAAATAAGCATTTTTATTACTAAATTTGATTACTACTTAATTTAGCTGCTCCAATTTCCAAGAATCTGACTTCTCTGCCTTTTCTCTAGACTTCTGACTAGTATTTCTCATCATTTTCTGCCCTGCAGGTAAAAGGCTTTTTGCCAGTTTGTGTGCCTGAAACCCTTCAGGGTCAGAGCAAAAATGGATATTGGTCTGTATTTATTCAACTGATGCTTTTTAGCACCAAGTATTACCAAGCCTTGTTACAAAAAAGTATTTAGCAATCTGTGTGGATTGGTTTATAGCTATTTTAGCATACTACAAAAATCTCCTGTAGTTTTTTCTGATAATTTAAAGTTAATACAAAAGATTTGCCAGACTCAATAGTGAACAAAATACAAGTTACACATGTTCTCAGATACTGTGCTGTTTATCATTTTAACTTGACAGAAAATATGAACATTATCAATCTTATGAGTACAGTATTTCAGCTATTGGATACATTAATTTTCATAAAAAATATGTAACATAGTGTAAGAGATGTGACTGTGTTAAAGTTTCTTTTCTACGTATCCGGTATTTAAGCATAAAAATGCATATGATAACTATGACTCAAAGGATTTCTAAATAACGTAACAGCCAATATTAGAAAATTCTAAATACCAAAGATAACACAATTAGAAGTTCATCTAAATACTACTTTAACATTTTAAATTATATTTCTTAGAAATCTACCACAAATAGTGAATAATGCTCACCAGAGCTTGGTACTCCTGATAAATTTCTGTGTAAGACAACTTGCTTTCTTCTTCATCATCAAAAACTGCAGGAGGGGAAAAAAAACCAAACACATACACATTTTAGAGTTAGTGTATACACCACAAATTACCTTATGCCTTACAGAGAAAGATTAACCTTTACAAGGTAATACATTTAATCATATGAAAATATAGGTCATGATTGATCCTACTCATGTATTTTTCCACACGTTCAGGCTAAGCATGTACTTTTGGTAATTTAAGGTAATTAGATTTCATAAGTTAATACCGGTAAAACATATCTTCATAACAGAAGCAGATTCCAAAGCAAGTTGAAGATTCAGCAGATGCGTACACTAAAAAGTAAGATTTACTATAAGAACTACCATATGAACTTGTGTAACATTGTTCTAAGATGGCAGATGACATACATAAAGCAGGAAATTTTTCTCTCTCTCCATGTATTTACGTGGAGTATGGATTAATGACTTAAACCAAATATTTCAAAATGTCATTCATTTCGCAAGAAGCCAAGGTGATGCAGGAAAATTAGACCCTGCCTGCATAAAATCAGGTAATCCCAAAGGGGGAATCTGCTGCAGATAAGTTATTTTTTAAATACATCTATCCTAATTTAGACAAAATAGGCATCTGTATAGTATAGACCATATTAATCATATTCATGTAAGTTCATATTAAGAACTCTTGACTGGAAATATCAAGCTAATGATCTCTACACTGTAGAATAGATGGAAGAAGCAGAAAATATGAGAAACTGAAAACTAGGGTTTGGGGTTTTTTAATTTACATTTTTATTGTGTCAGCATTGAACAGCAGTAATGTAAAACCTAGCAATTAAAGCAGAGGCTTAGAAATAACGCTTCCTCAATCCCCTTCAAGATTAGCCACTATATGTTGGACAAGTCACTTCCCATGTGCATGCTTTGAAGTCATTTGAAGAATGGGAATTCTGCTTAAATTGGTGAATGAGTGTGATTTATTCTTCTCATATATATGACATCTCTGATGGAAGATGCTACTGATGTGCATAGAATTAGTATAACTTCCACACAAATTTAGAGTGACTTTTAGAAAGCATAATTTCCTGGCTGTGACAGCCCCAAGGCAATGTTGCTCTGAACCTCAATAGGGTGTGATGCAAGATGGCTGCTCCTAAAACAGAAAGTATTTGCATCCCTTTCGGACAACTTACAGCAACACAATGACAGAAATCTAATCAAACAGTTCAAGCCCTCTAAATAACTAAGGGAAACTTCCTTTTTAAATGACATCATCTGGAAAACCAACATTTGCTTTTGTTTCATTTTTGCACCAATTTTTTTAATGAAGGGATTTAAAAAAAAAAAAAAAAGAAAGAAAAGCTTTAAAAATATCTAGGAATACATTCCAATGGTAGAAAACGTACTATAAATCTTACTCTAAAAAAATTCAGCTCCTGTGGCAATCACCATATTACCAAACCCAAGAGAGTGAAGACACTCAACTACCTCTGTTGTCTTCTGCATCTCCTCCACTCTGGGGGGATCTCCCTTAACAGGTCTCGCAGACCCCAACCTTTGTCTTTGTTTCTTTGTTCCTTTCTAACTCCTACTGTTCCTTCCCAACCTGGGCACCTAAAGGATGGGTGACATAGGGATGTCACCCCTCAGTCAGCGTCCACGCCAACAGCTGGCCTCACACTGCCAAGGGGATGCTTCCAAGTCCTCCTCCTCCTTCCACTGCTGCAGGACAATGTGGAAAGCAGAGTGGAAAGTCTGCACAAACTGCTCTCCGTTCTCAGGCTCTGAACGAAATGAGGATGAAGATAAGTGCCAAGTAAAGCAAGCTGCAGTCAGCATCTCCTCTGAGTTAAGTGGCATTAGGCAATACTTTGAATGGAGGCCTTGGATTTTCTTGAGTCAGGGCTCCTAAATCACGTAGTCATTATTTTCCTTAAGATTTTGGGACAGAGTCTTTGGTCACCTGACAGGAACAGAGAACTGAAGAACCACCGTATCAAGATAAGCCAGGGGACCCAGGTACCCTGGAAGAAAAGCTCATCATTTTTCTGCTAAAATTTAAAATCTTCGCTAGGACCCTTCAAACAGGATGAGCCTTAAGTCAAATTTGAGTTCTCCCTGCTAGACTGAGCCACTGACTCATTTCACCTCGCAGACAAGAGCTGGTGAGCAAACCCACAGGAACCCTTTCTCCCCCCTGCCCCATCCTCACTGACTGGAGAGGCAGCTCTGTGCTGGGAGGGGAGGGAGTTACAGGCAACAATATCTGTTTATTCCTTTTGTACCTTGTCTTTATCTTCTGGTGCTCGGAACTATTGTCAAGCTTATCTATGTCCAAATGATGTTTCAATTAATATCTTGGAACATCTGAACAGAACTGAGAAGTCCTCTCCCTTGAATACATACCCACATATTTAACTTCAGTTTCACAGCCACATAAAAGGAAACTAATGAAGCCATGAGAAATTAATCAAGTCCCCGGAAAGAGGGAGAGAGAGAAAGCAAATAATTACCATCAGATAGGAAACCATTAGGATTGTTTATAAGATGAAGTGCAAGGACTTGGCCTAAGTAACTACAGATCCAAAATAAATTCCTTACATACCAATTACCAAAACTCAAATTCTATTTTTGAGGAATCATAAATTATTGTTAGTTAATCAAAATGTTGCTAAATTGCTTGTTCAGCCCAAAGACTATATGTTTTGTGAACGAAAAGAATTCTGTCCTGACAAAATATCTCAGTAAAAAAAAAAACAGCAACAGAATCAACCCGTATATTTACAGAAAGGAAAAGCAAAGAGCACAGACATCTGCAACTAAAACTTCAAATTTCTTTAACTGTGCTTCTTGCAACCCTAGCATTGCAGTAACACTTCTTTAGCCTTTTTTTCTCAATAGCTTCTGACAGTTGTCCAACAGCACTGTGAAGCACAAATGATACCTTGGAAGATCATTCAGTGCATGCAATTTCTCTACTTTGTTCCTCTAATTTCTTATGTAGAAACAAACTGGCAGGAAGCAACCATTATACAAGCCTGCCTCACACTACATGGAAATTTACAGAGGTTCCGTAAATCTTCTTACTGTCAGTAAATTCCCCTCAACCTTCTAATGAGACATCATTGCTCCAGAGAGGGATAATCAATTCCCCAAATTCCTAAACCTAGACCCTTTGCATGATAATCAAAATGTTTGACCAACCTCAAGTTTAGGCAGACTTTCCAAGAGAAAACTGCTAGCCTAGATTTTGCTGTTGCTTTCTAGCTGTAGAGTCTAGCAGCTTTACCTTTCTCGCTTCCCAATATACCAGGGAAAGGAGTGCATACTCACAATGATCTTGCCTCATGCAAAGCTTGGGAAGGGTAGAAACAATGCAGCATAACTGAGCAGCAACTGGTTTAGAAGCTGTGATCCGAATCAGAAGTGCGTCTGTTCCACTGAATATGAAATAAAAGTCTTAATGGACCCTAACAAGAATGACTGCACAATAAAAGCCACTGACAGCCTTGCTGAGGCCAACTATTACAGAAGCTGTTCTGGAGCCCACAGCAGGATGGAGGGGAGGAAGGAGTAAGCCCAAGCAGGTAGAATACTGTAACAGTAAGAACCACTCTACTTTGAGCCGGATGCGAGTAAGTCCCTAGAAATAAATTGTATTTGGAAGTCTTAGTTTCTTGACTTCGGTATTTTAAAATTAATGAATCCTACATCCTGTCAGCTGATACTAAAGGAACAGATTTTATTCATAGTAGCCATAGAAAGTTATCCTAAATGAGTCTACAGCAACATGCTTTAATACTTCTGTGTCAATGTCTGCAGGATGGGTAGGATCACAGGCCATCATGTTCGCAAACACACTTTTTTTCCCCAATAATCGCAAAAGAAGGCTTCCTTTTTTTCTGAAGGACTTACGCGATGCTTTCAGACTTGCCCAAATTGTACTTGTTTTGGTACCATAAGGATCCAGGTGCTCTTCAGCAGCAGAAAATTTGTTCTGTAAGTAGCAGAACTAATTCAGCCAAACCTCTACTGCAGAAAGTCTATTTCCTCCTTTCCTCACTCCGTATGCACGCCCATATGGGCCTCCTCGGGCACCTTTACACAGAGCTACAGGCCTATCCCAGTCCCCTGCTCACTGCCTATACTTCCAGTGTACCCACAGCATTCCCCAAATTATTCCACAGTTCCCTCAGCTCTTTTTTGAGGAAGAAAAGGAAATTTAACTGGAGTTGCTTCCGAGCTAAACTCATGCACAGGACTGCCTACAAAACATAACCAGTAACCACTGACTTTTTAGTGCTACCAATTTTTGAGCGGTACCAACTTACGGTTTCCCATCTCTTAACTGCCAACGTCCACAAAATCGCAGGAATTTAACTTTGGGCCTTCTACTCTTCTGTCCCCCTGGCCAGACAGCAGTTTTAATTGTACTGTCCAGTTTCCTAAGGAAAAACATCTAGCTATGGATAAGTATTAAAGGCCTCCAACTGCTTCCTAGCTGCGTCAGGGTATTACGCGCAGCAGAACGAACAACTCGTTTAGGTGTCACACTGTAAGCTCACGTCGTAATCCCCCCTTCGAGCTCCTGAATGCCCACTGCCGCGTCCTGAGAAACGGCTGGCTCAGGGGAGAGCGGCTTTCCACGGGCGGGGCACCCCCTCCTGAAAAACGGTGCGAAAGCCCAGGCTGTGGCTTCGCAAAGCCCGACCAGCCCTCAGCGGGGACGGCCTGTTGTGCCAGAAGCCCGCAGCCCCACAAAACCACG